AATCGAAAATAAACCAATGATGCAGCTAGATAGATATTTTAATAACAAATTCAGAGAGGTATTCCACTTTTAAATCGGGTAAAAATTTCAAAAGTTATGGGCTAAGCAGTGCTGGGATCTGGTCACTTTTCTGCAAACCCATTTTTTGCAAATTTTGACAAGTCGGGGGTCATAAAAATTGACGAAACGTTGACCAAAAATTCGAAAAATAAACCAATAATGCAGCTAGATAGATATTTTAATAACAAATTCAGAGAGGTATTCCACCTTTAAGTCGGGTAAAAATTTCAAAAGTTATGGGCTAAGCAGTGCTGGGTTCTGGTCACTTTTCTGCAAACCCATTTTTGGAAATTTTGACAGGTCGGGGGTCATAAAAAATTACAAAATATTGACCAAAAATTAGAAAATAAACCAATTAATCGGGTAAAAATTTCAAGAGTTATGGGCTAAGCAGTGCTGGGATCTGGTCACTTTTCTGCAAACCCATTTTTTTGCAAATTTTGACAGGTCGGGGGTCATAAGGTGATGCAGCTAGATAGATATTTTAAAAACAAATTCAGAGAGGTATTCCAACTTTTAAATCGGGTACAAATTTCAAAAGTTATGGGCTAAGCAGTGCTGGGATCTGGTCACTTTTCTGGAAACCCATTTTTTGCAAATTTTGACAGGTCGGGGGTCATAAAAAATGACAACATATCAACCAAAAAATCGAAAATAAACCAGTGATGCAGCTAGATAGATATTTTAATAACAAATTCAGAGAGGTATTCCACTTTTAAATCGGGTAAAAATTTCAAAAGTTATGGGCTAAGCAGTGCTGGGATCTGGTCACTTTTCTGCAAACCCATTTTTGCAAATTTTGACAGGTCGGGGGTCATAAAAAATTACAAAATATTGACCAAAAATTCAAAAATAAACCAATAATGCAGCTAGATAGATATTCTAATAACAAATTCAGAGAGGTATTCCACTTTTAAATCGGGTAAACATTTCAAAAGTTATGGGCTAAGCAGTGCTGGGATCTGGTCACTTTTCTGCAAACCCATTTTTTGCAAATTTTGACAGGTCGGGGGTCATAAAAAATTACAAAATATTGACCAAAAATTCAAAAATAAACCAATAATACAGCTAGATAGATATTTTAATAACAAATTCAGAGAGGTGTTCCACTTTTAAATCGGGTAAACATTTCAAAAGTTATGGGCTTAGCAGTGCTGGGATCTGGTCACTTTTCTGCAAACCCATTTTTTGCAAATTTTGACAGGTCGGGGGTCATAAAAAGTTACAAAATATTGACCAAAAACGCAAAAATAAACCAATGATGCAGCTAGATAGATATTTTAATAACAAATTCAGAGAGGTATTCCACTTTTAAATCGGGTAAAAATTTCAAAAGTTATGGGCTAAGCAGTGCTGGGATCTGGTCACTTTTCTGCAAACCCATTTTTTGCAAATTTTGACAGGTCGGGGGTCATAAAAAATTACAAAATATTGACCAAAAATTCAAAAATAAACCAATAATGCAGCTAGATAGATATTTTAATAACAAATTCAGAGAGGTATTCCACTTTTAAATCGGGTAAAAATTTCAAAAGTTATGGGCTAAGCAGTGCTGGGATCTGGTCACTTTTCTGCAAACCCATTTTTTTGCAAATTTTGACAGGTCGGGGGTCATACAAAATTACAAAATATCAACCAAAAATTCGAAAATAAACCAATAATGCAGCTAGATAGATATTCTAATAACAAATTCAGAGAGGTATTCCACTTTTAAATCGGGTAAAAATTTTAAAAGTTATGGGCTAAGCAGTGCTGGGATCTGGTCACTTTTCTGCAAACCCATTTTTTGCAAATTTTGACAGGTCGGGGGTCATAAAAAATTACAAAATATTGACCAAAAATTCAAAAATAAACCAATAATGCAGCTAGATAGATATTCTAATAACAAATTCAGAGAGGTATTCCACTTTTAAATCGGGTAAACATTTCAAAAGTTATGGGCTAAGCAGTGCTGGGATCTGGTCACTTTTCTGCAAACCCATTTTTTGCAAATTTTGACAGGTCGGGGGTCATAAAAAGTTACAAAATATTGACCAAAAAACGCAAAAATAAACCAATAATGCAGCTAGATAGATATTTTAATAACAAATTCAGAGAGGTATTCCACTTTTAAATCGGGTAAAAATTTCAAAAGTTATGGGCTAAGCAGTGCTGGGATCTGGTCACTTTTCTGCAAACCCATTTTTTGCAAATTTTGACAGGTCGGGGGTCATAAAAAATTACAAAATATTGACCAAAAATTCAAAAATAAACCAATAATGCAGCTAGATAGATATTCTAATAACAAATTCAGAGAGGTATTCCACTTTTAAATCGGGTAAACATTTCAAAAGTTATGGGCTAAGCAGTGCTGGGATCTGGTCACTTTTCTGCAAACCCATTTTTTGCAAATTTTGACAGGTCGGGGGTCATAAAAAATTACAAAATATTGACCAAAAATTCAAAAATAAACCAATAATACAGCTAGATAGATATTTTAATAACAAATTCAGAGAGGTGTTCCACTTTTAAATCGGGTAAAAATTTCAAAAGTTATGGGCTAAGCAGTGCTGGGATCTGGTCACTTTTCTGCAAACCCATTTTTTGAAAATTTTCACAGGTCGGGGGTCATAAAAAATTACAAAATATTGACCAAAAATTCAAAAATAAACCAATAATGCAGCTAGATAGATATTCTAATAACAAATTCAGAGAGGTATTCCACTTTTAAATCGGGTAAACATTTCAAAAGTTATGGGCTAAGCAGTGCTGGGATCTGGTCACTTTTCTGCAAACCAATTTTTTGCAAATTTTGACAGGTCGGGGATCATAAAAAATTACAAAATACTGACCAAAAATTCGAAAACAAACCAAAGATGCAGCTAGATAGATATTCTAATAACAATTTCAGAGAGGTATTCCACTTTTAAATCGGGTAAAAATTTCAAAAGTTATGGGCTAAGCAGTGATGGGATCTGGTCACTTTTCTGCAAACCCATTTTTTTCAAATTTTGACAAGTCGGGGGTCATAAAAAATTACAAAATATTGACCAAAAATTCGAAAATAAACCAATAATACAGCTAGATAGATATTTTAATAACAAATTCAGAGAGGTGTTCCACTTTTAAATCGGGTAAACATTTCAAAAGTTATGGGCTAAGCAGTGCTGGGATCTGGTCACTTTTCTGCAAACCCATTTTTTTGCCAATTTTGACAGGTCGGGGGTCATTAAAAATTACAAAATATTGACCAAAAATTAGAAAATAAACCAATAATGCAGCTAGATAGATATTTTAACCCTTTCATGCCCACTGTTGCCTGTAGGCAACATTGACTTTAAGTTTAAATTTCGGTTACGATTCAAAATTTTTGTGGACTTTTTTTTTATAGGGGATTCCCCTTATTAATGTTCTTTAATTTTTTGGTAATTTTTGCGAATTCAGCTGCAGCGTGTGCTGAGTTATCACTAAAGATTCGAAGCGACCACAGCTGCCGAAAAATTTTACAAAAAAGTGTCCGTGCAAATAGTGCGATTAATTAAAATTAGTGACAAATACTAATAAAATAAGTACGTACATATCTTTAAAACAGGTAAGACTATGATAAAAGTATAAAGTTGGGCTTGAAAATTGTTTAATAACGAGTGTGGATTTTTTCAAAAGTAAATGTTGCCTACCGGCAACATTGGTCATAAGAGGTTCGCAAGTAATAAATTGTTTGTACTCATTAGGCATGCGTCCGAAGGGATTAAGCGAATTGGAAATTCAAAAAATTTGCGAATTCGATTGGGAAGATTCAAACGACGAAGATGAAAATGAAGGGGAGGAGGATAAAATGGATGTCTTGGAGGCATTCATAGAAGAAAGTCTGCAGGACATAATACAGCAAGGTGGAAATATTGAAGATGAGCTTATGAAAAGTACTGTGCTTAATACAATACAAAGCGACTTTGATGAAACAGTCCAACAAATTTATGAAAAAATCGATTTAAATAGTTTGAGATGGAGACATGCCTCAAAAGGAAAGGAGATGGACACTGAATGGAAAAGCCATGTGACTGCAGGCATCATAAAAAGTCCCGTTGAATATTTCAATTCATTTTTGGATGATGACATTTTCGAAAAGATATGCTTGGAAACTAATAAATACGCCTTTCAAGATAAAGGAGTGGAGCTGAAGTGTGAGGTATGGGAGTTGCGAAGATATATAGGCATACTGCTCTACCTAGGCGTAGTCAAAATTCCAACAACGCGTATGGCATGGACAAATAATTTTAAGTTATCCGCAGTATCAGACGCATTGCCACGGAATAGATTTGAAAAAATAAAATCAAATTTTCACATAAATGATAATTTAAAGCAACCCGGGAAAGGAGAAGATAACTATGACAAACTTTATAAGATCCGTCCCTTACTAAATAAATTAAAAGAGAAGTTTAATGAAATATCCCAAGAGGAATACCAAAGCTGTGATGAACAGATGATTTCCTTCAAAGGTAAAAGTAGTTAAATTTATTTGCAATATGTATATGAGTTTTTAATTTAATTTTTATTTCAGGTCATCATAGTTTAAAGCAGTACCTCCCTAAAAAGCCGCACAAGTGGGGCTTTAAAATGTTTTCTAGAGCTGGGGTGTCTGGCATTATATATGACTTTTGCCTTTACGTTGGAGACGGAACCTGTAAGTCTTATGGACTTGGACTGTCTTCAGATATTGTTTTGCATTTAGCTTCAAACATTCCTGAAAATCAAAATTTTAAACTATTTTTTGATAACTGGTTTACTTCAGTAAGCCTAATGATAGCATTAAAGGAAAGGGGTATCTTAGCAGTTGGCACTATTCGCAATAACCGTCTAAAAAATGTCAATCTTCTTAATGAAAAACAGTTAGCTGACAAAGGCAGGGGATCTTTTGACATAAAGGTCGAAGGAACTTATAACTTGATCTCGTGTCGCTGGTATGATAACAAATGTGTTCAGCTTCTTTCAAATTATATTGCTGATACACCAGTTTCTGAATGCATGCGTTGGTGCCGCAAAGAAAAAATCATGGTTAAAATACCTCGGCCAGCTATTGTAGATAGGTATAATAGAAACATGGGTGGTGTTGATCTATCAGATATGCTATTAGAATTATACAAAGTAAATCATCGCTCAAAAAAATGGTACATGCGAATCGTGTATTGGTGTATAAATGTGACAGTGGTGAATAGCTGGCTACTGTATCGCCGAGATCATAAGAAATCTCTTGAAGGAACAAAACATATGCCACTTATAAGCTTTCAACTAGATATTGCCATAGAGCTACTTAATGCTAATGTGGTACGATCCCGAAAAAGAGGTCGGCCTGCATTGGCTTTATTAAATTTTAGCTCTCCAAGCTCATCAACCGATCTTGTAGATCGAAGTTCTCCAGCTTCTTCCAAAGGGATTGAATCCCCAAAATCTTCATTTCCAAAGAGGTCTTATGTTATGGCTCCAGCAAAGGCAAAAAGATACGACCAAATCGGTCACTGGGTTCAGTGGGGATCAAAAGGTAGATGTAGAATGTGTAGTAAAGGCTTTCCCAGGACAAAATGTTCAAAATGTAATGTCCATTTGTGCTCAAACCCAAAAAACAATTGTTTGTACTGTATCATACCTAAACTAACACAGAAAAATAAAAATTGTTATCAAAAATCTCATTATTGTCTTCTCTTTTAAAGGTAATATTACTCATACGTACGTACTTATTTACATATATGTATGGACAAATGTTGCCTAAAGGCAACATTGCAGTAAGGACATACCAAAGGACTTAGAGTATCGAAAATCGATATGAACGTTACTTGGGGTTCCTATTAATCATTTATGGCGTTAAATATTTTCTATGTGTCCCCAGATTAATTTGGGCATGAAAGGGTTAATAACAAATTCAGAGAGGTATTCCACTTTTAAATCGGGTAAAAATTTCAAAAGTTATGGGCTAAGCAGTGCTGGGATCTGGTCACTTTTCTGCAAACCCATTTTTTGCAAATTTTGACAAGTCGGGGGTCATAAAAAATGACGAAACGTTGACCAAAAATTCGAAAATAAACCAATAATGCAGCTAGATAGATATTTTAATAACAAATTCAGAGAGGTATTCCACTTTTAAGTCGGGTAAAAATTTCAAAAGTTATGGGCTAAGCAGTGCTGGGTTCTGGTCACTTTTCTGCAAACCCATTTTTTGCAAATTTTGACAGGTCGGGGGTCATAAAAAATTACAAAATATTGACCAAAAATTAGAAAATAAACCAATAATCGGGTAAAATTTCAAGAGTTATGGGCTAAGCGTGCTGGGATCTGGTCCTTTTTTAAACCCATTTTTAAATTTTGACAGGTCGGGGGCATAAGGTGATGCAGCTAGATAGATATTTTAACAACAAATTCAGAGAGGTATTCCACTTTTAAATCGGGTAAAAATTTCAAAAGTTATGGGCTAAGCAGTGCTGGGATCTGGTCACTTTTCTGGAAACCCATTTTTTGCAAATTTTGACAGGTTGGGGGTCATAAAAAATTACAAAATATTGACCAATAATTCGAAAATAAACCAATAATGCAGCTAGATAGATATTTTAATAACAAATTCAGAGAGGTATTCCACTTTTAAATCGGGTAAAAATTTCAAAAGTTATGGGCTAAGCAGTGCTGGGATCTGGTCACTTTTCTGCAAACCCATTTTTTTCAAATTTTGACAAGTCGGGGGGTCATAAAAAATTACAAAATATTGACCAAAAATTCGAAAATAAACCAATAATACAGCTAGATAGATATTTTAATAACAAATTCAGAGAGGTGTTCCACTTTTAAATCGGGTAAAAATTTCAAAAGTTATGGGCTAAGCAGTGCTGGGATCTGGTCACTTTTCTGCAAACCCATTTTTTGCAAATTTTGACAGGTTGGGGGTCATAAAAAATTACAAAATATTGACCAATAATTCGAAAATAAACCAATAATGCAGCTAGATAGATATTTTAATAACAAATTCAGAGAGGAATTCCACTTTTAAATCGGGTAAAAATTTCAAAAGTTATAGGCTAAGCAGTGCTGGGATCTGGTCACTTTTCTGGAAACCCATTTTTTTGCAAATTTTGACAGGTCGGGGGTCATAAAAAATGACAACATATCAACCAAAAAATCGAAAATAAACCAGTGATGCAGCTAGATAGATATTTTAATAACAAATTCAGAGAGGTATTCCACTTTTAAATCGGGTAAAAATTTCAAAAGTTATGGGCTAAGCAGTGCTGGGATCTGGTCACTTTTCTGCAAGCCCATTTTTTGCAAATTTTGACAGGTCGGGGGTCATAAAAAATTACAAAATATTGACCAAAAATTCGAAAATAAACCAATAATGCAGCTAGATAGATATTCTAATATCAAATTCAGAGAGGTATTCCACTTTTAAATCGGGTAAAAATTTCAAAAGTTTTGGGCTAAACAGTGCTAGGATCTGGTCACTTTTCTGAAACCCATTTTTTGCAAATTTTGACAGGTTGGGGGGTCATAAAAAATTACAAAATATTGACCAATAATTCGAAAATAAACCAATAATGCAGCTAGATAGATATTTTAATAACAAATTCAGAGAGGAATTCCACTTTTAAATCGGGTAAAAATTTCAAAAGTTATGGGCTAAGCAGTGCTGGGATCTGGTCACTTTTCTGCAAACCCATTTTTTGCAAATTTTGACAGGTCGGGGGTCATAAAAAATTACAAAATATTGACCAAAAATTCGAAAATAAACCAATAATGCAGCTAGATAGATATTTTAATAACAAATTCAGAGAGGTATTCCACTTTTAAATCGGGTAAAAATTTCAAAAGTTTGGGCTAAGCAGTGCTGGGATCTGGTCACTTTTCTGCGAACCCATTTTTTGCAAATTTTGACAGGTCGGGGGTCATAAATAATTACAAAATATTGACCAAAAACGCGGAAATAAACCAATAATGCAGCTAGATAGATATTTTAATAATAAATTCAGAGAGGAATTCCACTTTTAAATCAGGTAAAAATTTCAAAAGTTTGGGCTAAGCAGTGCTGGGATCTGGTCACTTTTCTGCAAACCCATTTTTTGCAAATTTTGACAGGTCGGGGGTCATAAAAATTACAAAATATTGACCAAAAATTCGAAAATAAACCAATAATGCAGCTAGATAGATATTTTAATAACAAATTCAGAGAGGTATTCCACTTTTAAATCGGGTAAAAATTTCAAAAGTTTGGGCTAAGCAGTGCTGGGATCTGGTCACTTTTCTGCAAACCCATTTTTTGCAAATTTTGACAGGTCGGGGGTCATAAGGTGATGCAGCTAGATAGATATTTTAAAAACAAATTCAGAGAGGTATTCCACTTTTAAATCGGGTAAAAATTTCAAAAGTTATGGGCTAAGCAGTGCTGGGATCTGGTCACTTTTCTGGAAACCCATTTTTTGCAAATTTTGACAGGTTGGGGGTCATAAAAAATTACAAAATATTGACCAATAATTCGAAAATAAACCAATAATGCAGCTAGATAGATATTTTAATATCAAATTCAGAGAGGTATTCCACTTTTAAATCGGGTAAAAATTTCAAAAGTTTGGGCTAAGCAGTGCTGGGATCTGGTCACTTTTCTGGAAACCCATTTTTTGCAAATTTTGACAGGTCGGGGGTCATAATAAATGACAACATATCAACCAAAAAATCGAAAATAAACCAGTCATGCAGCTAGATAGATATTTTAATAACAAATTCAGAGAGGTATTCCACTTTTAAATCGGGTAAAAATTTCAAAAGTTTGGGCTAAGCAGTGCTGGGATCTGGTCACTTTTCTGCGAACCCATTTTTTGCAAATTTTGACAGGTCGGGGGTCATAAATAATTACAAAATATTGACCAAAAACGCGGAAATAAACCAATGATGCAGCTAGATAGATATTTTAATAACAAATTCAGAGAGGTATTCCACTTTTAAGTCGGGTAAAAATTTCAAAAGTTTGGGCTAAGCAGTGCTGGGATCTGGTCACTTTTCTGCAAACCCATTTTTGCAAATTTTGACAGGTCGGGGGTCATAAAAAATTACAAAATATTGACCAAAAATTCGAAAATAAACCAATAATGCAGCTAGATAGATATTCTAATAACAATTTCAGAGAGGTATTCCACTTTTAAATCGGGTAAAAATTTCAAAAGTTATGGGCTAAACAGTGCTAGGATCTGGTCACTTTTCTGGAAACCCATTTTTTGCAAATTTTGACAGGTTGGGGGTCATAAAAAATTACAAAATATTGACCAATAATTCGAAAATAAACCAATAATGCAGCTAGATAGATATTTTAATATCAAATTCAGAGAGGTATTCCACTTTTAAATCGGGTAAAAATTTCAAAAGTTATGGGCTAAGCAGTGCTGGGATCTGGTCACTTTTCTGCAAACCCATTTTTTGCAAATTTTGACAGGTCGGGGGTCATAAAAAATTACAAAATATTGACCAAAAATTCGAAAATAAACCAATAATGCAGCTAGATAGATATTTTAATATCAAATTCAGAGAGGTATTCCACTTTTAAATCGGGTAAAAATTTCAAAAGTTTGGGCTAAGCAGTGCTGGGATCTGGTCACTTTTCTGGAAACCCATTTTTTGCAAATTTTGACAGGTCGGGGGTCATAATAAATGACAACATATCAACCAAAAATTCGAAAATAAACCAATAATGCAGCTAGATAGATATTTTAATAATAAATTCAGAGAGGAATTCCACTTTTAAATCGGGTAAAAATTTCAAAAGTTATGGGCTAAGCAGTGCTGGGATCTGGTCACTTTTCTGCAAACCCATTTTTTGCAAATTTTGACAGGTCGGGGGTCATAAAAAATTACAAAATATTGACCAAAAAATTCGAAAATAAACCAATAATGCAGCTAGATAGATATTTTAATATCAAATTCAGAGAGGTATTCCACTTTTAAATCGGGTAAAAATTTCAAAAGTTTGGGCTAAGCAGTGCTGGGATCTGGTCACTTTTC